ACATGAATGAAATAACAATATTCAACGATATTTTTGCATTCCTTGTATGAAAGAGAACAATAATCACATATTAGTATCAAAACTTTGAAATGGAACTTACCGTAAGGTGTAACAGAAAAATACTTATAATTTGTACCAGCTATATTGTCTGCTTTACACCAATACGTCCCAGAAAATGATTCATTTACATTAGTAAATGTGATTGTCCTGCAAAATAAATAAAACAGTACGATTAAAAGGACATTGTAAAGAATTAATTAAATTTTCTTCCTATAAATCAAGTTCATGCTGTAATTGAAACAAGACAAAAGTAACTGTCGTGAAAGCACAACTTGCAATAAACCTATATATTCCTAACATTCAATACTGCGGATTACTAGACCTTTTTATCTTATTTTTTATGTTCGTAAAATTTAATTTTTTATCTATTTTCCTCCTGACAGAACCACCTTGGGTTAATTTTGGTCTGTTAAGCTGAAGTGATCCTCATCCTCTCGAGTCGGTGGGTGTTTAGAGCATACCATGTTATGGTAAATGGCACTATAGACAAAGGCACCACCACCCAGTATGTAAAATCTTCATTATTTTAATTTTAAATTACGTTAAGAACTTTGAACAGGGAAAAAGTAGGAAACAATGTCGTAATGTAAACAGAAATCTTCGAAATACAGAGAACAAGTCACAAGTAAAATAAGCCACCTCTACATGGTAACTAAAAGTACTCCTCCCACCCGAAATTTTCCCCAAAAATGTTTGCCAAATAATTGAAGAATGTTATAAATCCTTTCAACCAAAGCAAGAAAACCTTCAAGGAGATACACTTGAATTAGTCCTTTACAATCTCACATCAATATAAATAAATAGTTCTAAAGTGTTTGTGATTTTGGAATTTTCAGCTTTAAAAAATAGTTTTTCAATTCGCTTATTTAATTACTAAAATGAATATCACGTCAAGCCGATTGTCGTCTCTCTGAGCGAACCGATTTATCTCGAACCTTATGGAATCTACAAACATGAAATTTTGACATGTTATAGTTGATGTATATGTACTGTAACGTTTCTCCTGGTGAATTAAAACCAACAGAATATGTAAACAAAAACGTTTATTCGGGAACAATCGCAGAGTACCGACGACGAGTACGACGACGAGTACGACGCATTACGACGACGAATACGACGACGAGTACGACGGACGAGTACGACGCGAGTACGACGACGAGTACGACGACGATTACGACGACGAGTACGCAGACGAGTACGACGACAGTACGACGACGAGTACGACGACGAGTACGACGAACAGTACCGACGACAGTACGCACGAGTACGACGAAACGAGTACACGAACGAAGTACGACCACGAGTACGACGACGAGACGACGACGAGACGACGACGAGTACACACGAGACGACGACAGTACGACGACGAGTACGACGACGAGTACGACGACGCGTACGATCACGAGTACGACGACAGTACGACGACAGACGACACGAGGACGACGACGAGTACGACACGAGGACGAGAGGAGAGGAGGACCGAGAGGGAGAGACGAGGAGGCAGAGAGACGAGAGAAGTAGGAGCGAGGAGGCAGGAGACGAGAGGAGGAGGAGGGACGAGGAGGAGAGGAGGTACGAGGAAGAGAGAGGACAGGAGGAG